CCCAGTAGAGCATGCTAACTTGAAAGTTCTTCATTCACAAACAAGTGGTTTCTTATAAAAAGGATAAGCATGCTTTTTTCCCCTCTATCTTACCCTAGGGTTTCTTCAATGCCATTTGCTGTGCTTTTATAATGTGTGGACTGTCCAAAAACAGTTGTGAAGATGTAATCACACAGACATAGACATAACCAACTACTATTACTTTTTGTTTGCAAACTCAGTTGAAATAGACTCTTGTCACCACCGAGCCAAACTGAAAACTAAGTTTTAACTCCTCTTTGATTTCAGAACTAGAGACAAAAAAGCAGAGTTGAAGTATCACCCTTTTCACCTTCATCTTCCAAAGGGAGGCGGCTAAGTAAAGGCAACAAGCAACAATACAATAAACCAACTCATAGAAGAGCAGCATAGATATGAATAGATATGAATCCTTGACAGTTAGATTTTATACTTAGCTTTGCTACTTCTCCATCAAAGTCAGTCAGGTAGTCAGTTTAAGATAAGGAAAAATTAGGAAATAAAGGGCGCAGCAAGAAAATGAGCCAATGTCATAAGAAAATCTCAGAACTAAAGACTAAGCATTATGGAAAGAGAAAAAAACAAACAAAAAACATCAGAAGAATAATGTGCAAGAGGAATATAATATTACATGTGTAATATTATAATCAAAACACTCCAAATAATCTACCGAGTTGAAAATATATCTTATACAAGTATTACTAGTGATATGTAATGAAACAATATATAATTGCCAGAAATACTAACAACAAGGGTAAAACATTTATCTCATAAAATACTATGAATATTCCTACCAACAGGAGACTCCGGTGTCAAGCCCATGCTCTGAAGTAATGCTTCAGCTTCTCTTCTCTTCTTTTCAAGGTCAGATTCTTCTTGAACAGGAAGAACATCCTTCTTCTGATCAGTCTAGAAATAATTCAGTAATTGCATTAAGGTATTTAAAAGGCATTAAGAACAGTTTCATCTTATTTCTGAGATCTAACCACTATGTTTTCTGTGCTACTAAAGCCTATAAGACACATTACACACCTCGCTAATAATTCTGATAGATCTTTCAGTAGATAAAGTAAAACCAGACAGGAGGAATTAAGAGGTTTTGTAGCTTTAGTACTGCCTTCAAGTCATTTTTTTTAAAGTTTCTTTATTAGTTCTGTTCAAGTTGTTTTATTATCTGCTAGATTTCACATGCACACAAAAAAAAGGCATAAAATGACACCCTTACTCACATGCAATTTAGAAATAATGCGGGCTCTTCAGTGAAAGATGCTGATCTCTCCATTTTTTCCCAATTTCATTTAACTGCTCACACAACTACATAAATTTAAACTCCTAGCTTCAGTGTCCACAACTCAGTCACTGGCAAGCACGTATTTTTAATTTTTATTATACAAATACCAGACTTCAACAGAAGCAGCAAAATCCAGACCCAGTTACAATAATCCTACAGAATAAAGAAAGTTTCCTCCCATGACTGCACATTATACCTTTGACCTACTGTACATCTTTGAAAAAAGCCTTTTCCAAACTTGAGAGCAAGTTCCCAACTGATAAGCTACTGTATCACGGGTGGAAGCACAAGCACAGGCAATGCAGAATTACATCATCATCAGAACACAAGTGTAGGATTTCCCTGAATCATTTTGCTGGCAGATGCCTGGGCTTCAGTCATACGCTAACTGAGAACATCTTCAAGATTGTAACTAAAAGAAGAGACGTCATGAAGAGGTGACACAGCACACCAAAGTACTTCAGCAGACATTCTGTTTATGATGTATAATCCCTTTTCAGGAGAAATTTAGCAATGTCATAGAATCATAGAATTATAGAATCACCAAGGTTGGAAAAGACCTAAAAGATCACCCAGTCCAACCGTTCACCTATTCCCAATAGCTCCTACTAAACCATGTCCCTCAACACAACATCCAGCCTTTCCTTGAACACCCCCAGGGTCGGTGATTCCACCACCTCCCTGGGCAGTCCATTCCAGTGCCTGACCACCCTTTCTGAAAAGTAATACTTCCTCATGTCCAGCCTGAATCTCCCCTGCCGTAGCTTGAAACCATTCCCCCTGGTCCTATCACTAATGACACGAGAGAAGAGGCCGACCCCCAGCTCACTACAACCTCCCTTCAGGAAGTTATAGAGAGCAATAAGGTCTCCCCTGAGCCTCCTCTTCTCCAGGCTGAACATTCCCAGCTCCTTCAGCCTCTCTTCATATGGCCTGTGTTCCAGACCCCTCAGTACCACAGATGTACCACAGATTGTCACATAACTTAGCAGAAGGAAATCAAGCATAACAAATCTTGAGTAAGAGAGCCAAAGAACACAGCACATTGTTTGTATGGTAACAATACCGACAGACAGTTCATACAGACATCTCTGAAACTTCATTTTAGAACGGAGTTCTCTAAATTATGCCATTGCAAATAATGAAACAGGGTTTTTGAGTAATACTTCAGCCACTCCTCACAGTAATTTCATTAACAATATCCCATGCACACAAGACTATCGTTCTTATTTCTAAAAACGCAAGCATTTTCAAATCTACCTTACCGCATGGATAATTCTAAAAATCAGGGCTTTTTTTAATTCTCACAGAACATAAGCACTACACTTGCACAGATCATTAAATTGACATTCCCTAGATAACACATAGCAAGTGACTAAGTGAACCTTCTCTTTTTAGGCACGTTACATATATTTGGGACAAGTTACATAACCAAACAGTCAGCTTTCCAAGAGAAAACAGTTTCTTACTTCTTTTTTCTTTCTTTCTTCCTCCTTTCTTTTCTTCTCCTCTCTGATCTGAGCCAATCGCTGCTTCTTGCGCTCCAACTCCGCCTTCAGTTCACTTTTGTCAGACATGACTGCAACACTGATCAACACAGAAATCACTCCAAAAGGTTCTGTTTGGTTAAGATTGCTTATTTACAGGAAAATTGCTATCGTTAATGTAACTGTGCTAAGTGGCTAAAGACAGAACAGTGAAAAGTCCTAAAATCATAATTGAAGTTACATTCCTGTTTTCACACTTAGCAGATTCTCGCTGCTAAAAAGATTGATTTAAAAGACAGAAGGTGACAAGGTGACAGCACCTTTTCCCAATGTATTTCTGAAGCTTTTTTGAGACACTACTTTGAATGACACATGGAGCTCTGAAGACAAGGTTATATTATGTTGCACAGAATTCTATACAGCGCCAGAGCCACCTACAGTATTTACACACAGCAAACAGTAGGAAGGGTGCCCACACGCCCACACTGCAGCCCCTAAATTACTGGCACTTTATAACCTAGCAGGATGAACATGATGCACCCTGTTAGATGTGCTTGCAGTAGCCAAAACACCAACCTAATCAAAGATGTGGCAGTATTACTGTAATTGGCAAGGAGAGTAGGTAACTGGAGGGAGGCAAAAAAAACCCTGTAAACTATGTGCATCGCTGATCTTTTGTCTTTCATTTTTTGTCTTTCATTTATAGATCTTGTGTACGCTGCTAAGAAATGGGCGGGGCTTCAAAAGACAGAAATTCTACCAAAGACTTGTTAGATAAGTCATTTGGTTAAGCACAGATGGGAAAGCCAAGCATAAGCAAAAGCAGACCAAACCCAAACCCTTTCAGGAGGCGATGAGTCGGAAGACAAGCAGGAAAAGCCGTGTGAGCAGGCAGGGCCAACAGCAGCTGCATCTTCCTGCTCAGCACATCCACGCCAGTAACCAAAGCACAGGAGTGGCTCCAGCACGGCTGCGGGCCCCACAGCTGTTACACACACGCACCAGCGACGCAAGCCTTCACAAGTGCAAAACAAGAACACCCACACGTGTCTGCACAGCACACCTAAGAGCGGAGCTCCAAGCAAGCCTCCCACCTTAAACCTGGCGCACACGTCGGCAGCTTTTCAGCCACGTTCTCTGCCAACGTGGAAAGGTTAATAGAAAATAACGCAGCGCCGGCACTGCAGAGCGGCACCGGCCGGGCCGCGCTCTGCTCAAGGCCCCACCCGCGGCCGCACCCCTCACGGCCGGGCCGGGTGGCACAGCGGCGGCACAGCGGCCCCGGCCCCGCTGTGAGACCCCGCGCACCTGCTGGCGAGACCCGCTCGGCTCCGCGCCCTCCAACCTCGGCTGGGCCCAGCGCCCGCTCTGCTTCCGCCCGTTCCACAAAGGCGGCGGCAGCTGACGGGCGGCGGTCTACGGCGGGCGCGGAGGCTCAAACCGGCCGCAGGGCGCCGTGGGGCGCGGGGACTTACGGCGGCCGCGGAGGCTTCAACGCGACACGACAGGGAGCAATCGCAGGAATTCGCTCGAGAACGGGCGCGGAGAGACGCGAGAGGGCGGCGGGCGCTTTCAGAGGCCTCAACACCGCCCCTTCTGCCGACAGCCGACGACGCGGCTGCGAGAACGACGACGCCCGGCGTGCAGCGCGCCGTGACAAGCAGGCCTCGCCCTCGGCGCCCTACGGCGTGAGCAGGGCCGGGCGGACGAGGTGCATCATGGGAATTGTAGTTCTGCACGCGCATGCGCATCTCACTCTGGTGCTCCAGGGTGGCCGTGAAGGGGGCAGTGCGCGGGAAGTGCGCGTGTGGCGGTGGCCGTTAAGGGCGCCTTGCGCCTTCACCACACGGTGCCGCGCCCTCGCGCCTCTGGCAGCGGGCAGCCCTGAGGTGAGCGGGGGCAGGGCCGGAACGCCTCATGGAGCGTGACAGGCAGGTATGAGGTGATGCGGTTTTTGCTTTGCTCAAGTACCAGCTGATAGTGAAGTGACGTTGCGGTTCCCCAGTGGTCCTAAGTTAATGAAAGAATATTGCCGATTGTTCCCTTTGGAGATATATGTCATGGTTTTCTACCTTTTTTCCCCTGAGCCGGTGATGCTGGCAGCTAACATCTTCAAGGAGTGCTCGATTCCTCAGAGCACTGATCTTTCAAAGACTATTCACCAAAGCAGGAGTAACACAGGCAGCTCATCTGCCTCGAGTGTGAGCTCACAGCAGTCTGTGAGAGGTAGTTGCCAGAGGCAATGACAGTCATCCCCAGACATGGTTAGATTCTTTGCTATTGCAAACGCCATTAGTTTATTTTAAATCACTGAGTCTCCGAGGACTTAGGTCCGTTGAGGATATGCTCAGAATTCCTGCTGGCTGTGTTTGCGTTGAGGCTCTATGAGACACAAACTGAACGGGTTGGTTGGCGCTGTGCTGGTATGGCTCCCAGCCCGGGTTGCTGCAGGAATCATTCTCCGCAGCCTCCTGTTAGGCTCGGGATTCGTGCTGCACCTTAAGAAAAATGAGAAGAGCTGTCTGTTGTCTAGATGGCTTCTGATTATCAGATAACATCTGTGTATTTTGTGAGGATATGGGTGTTACCATTTGAGGAAACTGTAAGTGCTTATCAGTGAAACTGTCAAAAAAGATTGTATGATGTGCCAGAAAGGGGATTCCTTCTTTCTTCAGAGATGGAAGTGTGAAAGTAATGAACTTCCACAAGCAGCTCTCATCTCTGATTTTTTTTTTTAACCTGAGTTTTCTAATGTCACTTATGATAATATGCTTACACTGGAGCAGAAATGTATGTCTTTATTGTTGTAAGCTGTAGCTGTGCTTTCCTTTGGCCATGCAATCAATCAATCTTACATTTGAAGTTTTCTAGTAATATCTCTTAAGTTTACCTTTAAAGTTAGTAACATGGGAACCAGATGTTAAACCTTTGTGATTAATTTAGCTGATTGATTTTTGATTTGCTGAAGCATATTTCTTGATCTTGAGCCTACAGTCACCTGCTGAATGTCATATTACTTTTTGTGTTAGTCTTTCATTTTAGAAAATACAGTAATACAATAGGTAATTTTTGCAATTATGACATCCCTTTTTTTATTTGTAAATGACAGTAATAGTTTTCAAAAAGCTGTCTCAGTCAGTGTAGCAGTGACAGAAACATGGACAGAATGATAACTGCACAAGCATGTGTGATTTTTTTCAGTCATTAATCTCACAAATGATAGTGGTATAAAGTGAAATACTCAAATCTTTCTTCAGCTGTTAGTCTCACAAGGTGTGCGATGGGAGGACAGATTTGCAAACAATGCTGTTTGTGGGTGTATTCAAATAAGCACTTTCTCCTAGCCTCAACTTCGTGGTGACAGCATCATCTAGAACAGCAAACCCCAATTTCATCATATGATGGAATGAGTAGAAGCTACACCGTGAGGTAGCACCTTTCTATCTGTGGGACTGAGGAAACAGTGGCTTTTAAGGGTTTTATGTGCTGAGTCTGGAGTGAACACAGCCTAAGTAAGACCTGAGCACCTGACCTAGCCTAACAATTACCCACATAAACAGAATTAGTGTATTACTAAGAAGCTATTTTGATACACGTGAAGGAATAAGAAACACAGGTTTGGTCTCTGCTGTGAACAGGCCATACTAAACCTCCATACTAAACATCCATACTAAACACAGGAAGCCATCAGTCAATTCAGAAGAAACTCTATTTGTATCTTTAGGAGAACGTACTTTCCATGTTACCTGAACTGGGAGAAGGAAGGACAGCAAAGGCGAGCGGGCCATTGTATAATCAAAGAATATTAGGATGTTCTAATCACAAAATAAACAAGAGAGTTAGGCAAAGTAGACCATGATAACAAAGAGAATAAATAGAAGGCTTACCCTTTTCTTAGGCTCACCCACAAAACACCAGTAGAGACAATCTCCAGAAGAGATCCTTCCCTACTGGTAGCCGGCTCTTAAATAGGTCCAGGATAACCTTCCGGCAGCACAGCTGAATTGCCTTCACCTGTGCTCCTCTGGCTGTCTCATGGCTCACCTCAGGTGATCAATCAGAGGTTCAGGCCGCGACTCAGCAGTTCCCACACAGCCATCAATATGCCTTGTCACCCTGCTGGGCTGCTGGAGAGCAGCGCTGATCTGCTGCTGTGCATGAGCCCAAAAGCTATGCTGCAGAGGGTGGTTCCTTCCTAACTGCCACTGCTGCAATGGCCTCTAGCCATTGAGAGACTGGCAGAAGGCAGCTGGCCTACCTTCCATTGAGAACATCAGGCTCCATTTTAATTTTCTCCATCTTACAGACTCCATGGGCTTAAAATAATCAGGAAGATCTCATCCCGTAATGTAAAAATGTAACTTTTCTACTATCATTACAGTAGTCTGTACTTTTCCCTTAGAAAATGTGTGGCAGTGTTAATATGGGATTCTCTCCCCCCTCTCTTATTCCTTCAAGAGGGACATATTTTGTTCCTGTTGTGTCAGAGTAAGGTGATGGTGAATGATGGGTTCTTTCTAAGATGTGAACACTTTTGCAATCTGATAACCTTTGGCACAAAACACATACATGAGTGAATGGTCCAGCACTTAAGAGTGATTCACTGCTAAGCATTATAGAAAATAGGTTTACCAGCTGAAAAATTTCAAGGCAAGTTTTCCTTCTTCAGTGTGGTCTGTGTACGGTGTTCTCATTTTTTTCCTATTATGTGGTTGAGAGGAGATAATGAGAGCTTCTTAAGGGATCCTGTAATGCACCAACGCCTGCACTAGTTCTAATGGTTTTAAGAGAGAGTATGAAAACTGCCAAGAGCTCAGCCACAAGAAACTATTTTGGGATGTGTTGTATGCCAGGCTGTATTCTGCCCTCACTTTGTACACCATAGTCCCATTAACGTTTACAGAAGTTTGGTGTGATCATCAAAGCAAGAATATGCTCACGTATTTATTAAGGGGATAACAGAGTTCTTTTCATAAGCATTGCATTGGTGTTACTAACCAGAAGGTAACATGATAAATGAAAAGAGGGTAAGCGTTCACTTCTTTTCAGGGACTTCTTTAAACTTTAAGAATACAATTGTTTTTCTTAATGTAAGCAAAAAACATTCCTTCATAATCTTAAAAGGCACACTGAAATATTTCAATTTACAAAGAATGAATGCACTTTTCATCCATTGGCATTAAAACATATAATTCTAGAAAGGTTTAACACTTCATTATCTATAGATGAAGTCAGAAAGGTGAAAAGACTTAGTAACAAGACTGCAGGTTGTAGAATTCAGAGTTCCAAGCTGCTGGTGTTCTGTTCTTGTGTAGTGATACTTTTTTTCTGTAACCAGTGTTGAAAAAAGGTGACTTTCATAGCATGAGATTCATTTGGGCAGGAGCTGAGTAACTCAATGACAGCATCACTAAGTTGTGTTTTGGTGCCACAGAGTATTTACTGCTAACAGTAATATAAATAGGGTTTGCTGGTTTTGGAGGGTGTTTTAAAGAAACTTGCTGATGTTTTGGAAGAAGGGCTGAAAAAATTACATGGTGGTAAACTACAGAGTTAAACATGCAAGCAGCATTTTCATGTTCACTGGAACAGGCTGCCCAGGGAGGTTGTGGAGTCTCCTTCTCTGGAGATGTTCAAGACCTGCCTGGATGCCTACCTGTGTGACCTGCTGTAGGGAACCTGCTTTGGCAGGGGGGTTGGACTCGATGATCTCTGAAGGTCCCTTCCAACCCCTACAATTCTGTGATTCTGTGATTTTTAATATATTTCTCAGGACACCTGCTTTTTAACTGAAAGAAATCTTTGGTTTTAGTAAAGTTGCAAGGCAGTAGATAGTTGGAGATGGATGTTTTATTAACAGAACCCAAACTGCTGTGCCTTACTTGTACGTGAGCAGAAAGGAGATGGTGTTGATGGGTTACAGGGCTACGTTCTGTGTCCTGAACTGCTCTGCAAACACTTGGCCCAAACCAAAGGTAGCCCTTCTCTGGTTAGATATTTACCTGAGCGTTATAGAACTTAAACCTCGTTATTCACACAGAGAATGTGCTTGTAGTGGTGTTCAGGCCTTATACAATTTGGAATGACTGTAATGGAATTCCCTGCAAATCTGCTGTAGCAGAAATGCTGAGTCATGGCCTGAAGCAGTGATTGAGCAGCTGGTGGGAAGGCAGGGCCAACCCAGGGCAGCTCAGGTGCATGCAGTGTACCTGTGTGATTGGAAGGGGTGGAGCCAGGATCCACCCCTTTCCAGACCTCACTTAAGAGCTGGTAGTAGTCGTGTGAGTATCTTGCTAGAGATTCTTGTGTGCTTGAGACCTTCTAAAGGTAAGTACTTTTATGTTATTTTATTTTTTTTTCCTCCTGTTTCTGTGCCTACGGCTGTTGGTTTTGAGTTTATCCTCGTTTGCTGCTGCCTGGGACTTTGCTACCTTACTTTCATTGCTGTGCTTTTCTTTGCATTATAGTGTTACATCTGGTGTCAGTTTCTATTCTGAAAAGGTGGTTGACTGTCAATTAATAACAGTGTAGCTAAACTGTATTGGAAATTGATATTTTTGTTGTATTTAAGAAATGTTGACATCAGTCACTGGGAATCTCTGCATCCATTTATGTTCCTCTAAAAAAAGCTGAG